CTATGAGTTGTGCTTGACTCAAAGGCAATCAACAACAACAATATAATCAGGTAAATCTTTTTATGGAGTTCATCTTTTAATGAGACTTTCCTAGCCAAAGTTTGAATTTGCCTTGTAGATGGGCAAGAATATGCAAATGGGGAATGTTAGCCTATCCATGAGGGAATTAGTTACCTACCAATCCACAAGGGCATTGACTAGTCTCACCAATCCACGTGGCAATTAGCTAGTCCCGCCATTACATTTAGCAATCTAGCAGCAGGAGAATTAGATCTTCCCCATCTTAGAAAAAAAAAAAAAAAGAATGTAGGCTACCCTTTGACACCAGATGTTTTGTTCCAGATAAACCTGTAGCAGCAGCCATGGCCAAATGAGAGACCTTACGTGAAATGGGGTCTTGACACTGTTGCACTATTGGAACCTGAGCTAAGAGCCTTTGTCTAAATTTTTGGAAAACTAGAGGTGGGGACCATAATTTGCAGGACAGAGAACTTAGTAACACTGGTTTAAAGCCAAGAAGCTCAAGGCTGAGGTACCTGTGTGCACATTTCAGAAGCTGTCCTAACTATATTCTGCTACTAATCTAGATTATAACTTTTTGACTTCCCCAGCATGGTTCTGTGTGGTCTGTGAGCTATTGCATCAGATTCTGGGCCCAGTTAAGAAGTAAGATTGGTGTTGAGATGAGTAGAAAGAGGTATGGTAGTGTTAGAGACATGATTGGGTTTTTGTTATTGATGCTGTTGACAGGGACAGTTCCCCTTTGTGAAGTTGATAAAGGTCAGACATGGCCATCCCAATAAGTAACATTTTAATTTTTATTTATTTAATAAAAGACTACAAGTATTATTTTATTTTAGAACTTTAAATACCATTTTAAAAGAGATCACTCGTGGAAAGTTAAACAGTCTATTACTGAACATCTTATTTTTACTGGAGAAACACTATTAGCTATTCTAACTTTCTTGAAATAATTTTTTTATTCACAGTCATTTCCAAATTGAATTTTAGAATATTTATAAATACACATATGTCCACAACTATGGAAATATTTTATGAATGAGCGTAACTTTTAAGTGACTGTAGTAGGTATGAAAATAAACACAATTACAGCTACCAAAATAAAATGCTTTGTTTGCTAAAGTTCTTTGCAAATGAGCTGAATTATTCATACATACTTTTATCATTAAGAAGTGATCCTGAATTAGTCTTCCAGAAAGTACAGCTCTCCATCTTCTTTGAATGATAACTGTTGATGCTCTCATATTCAAAAACCTAAAATTTTAGGCATCGAAAAGCAATTGCAAATTAATCTTTCTCATACTTATTCTTTCCTTCCTTCCTTTAATAATAATAAAGTGAGATAAACAATGATAAAACATGAAAGTGCAATTTATACTTGTTGTTGTTATGTGCCATCGTGTCACCTGCAACTCATAGCGACCCAATGCACAACAGCCCTAAACCCTGCTCTATCCCTTGCCAATCTTACTGTCTCCAACACGCCGATCCCCATTATCCCAGTGACTGAATCAATCCATTTCATTGAGGGTCTTCCTTTCCTGCACTTTCCCTCCACCCTCCAAGCATGACATCCCTCTCCAAGGACTCATCCGCCTTGCAACACGTCCAAATTATGTCAGACAGAGTTTCAGAATCTTTGCCTCCAAGGAGCAGCCTGACTTCACCCTCTGCAGGACAAACTTGTTTGTTCTCCTAGCTGTCCAGGGTATATTCAATACTCTTCTCCAACACCACAGCTCAAAGGCATCAACTCTCCTTCTACTGAATTTTACATACTCAATAACTAATGTTTTTTTTCTTTTCTTTGCTTATATGTTGGTAACATTCCCATAAGAATAAGAAGTTACAATCACTGAGTATGTAGGTTAGGATTCTAGAATAACAAAGAATTTTTAAGAAAGGCAAAACAATGTACAATTTTATGTTGCTGTTGAGTCAACACTAACTCAAAACGATCCTAATAAATAACAGACCAAAACTTACAGATCAGTTCAAACCTAAATCATTGTCATACTCTCTGCCATACTTAAGCTTACTGTTGTAGTTACTGTTTCAATCTATCTTGGTGAAGGTCTTCCTTATTTCTGACCTTCAATCTTTTGAAACAATATGTTCCAAAGACTAGCCTTTCCTAATAGCATCCGCACAGTTTGTGAACCACAGTGTAATCACCCTTGCCTCTAAAGAGCACAGAGGTTGGCTTCTCATAAGATATTTTGTTCTTTTCGAAATTCTTGATGTATTCAAAAGCTTTATTTTGTTTGCTAAAGTTGTTCTTTACAAATGAGCTGGAATTGTTCTTCACAAATACCACAACTCAAAGGCATTAATTCTTCTTGGTAATCCTTGCTCATTTCCCAACTTTCAGAAGCATATGAAACAACTGAAAACAGCATGGCTTTGGCCAAACACACCTCAGTCTTTAAATTGATATCTTTGCTCTTTAACACTTTAAAAAGGTCCTTGACAACAAATTTGCCCAATGTAATATCAAGGTGCTAAGGGTTTATTAGGGAGCTCTGGTTGCCTAGTGGCAAGAAGCTGTGCTGCGATCCCAAAGGCACACAGTTCGAATTCACCAGCTACTCCACAGGAGAAGGATGAATAATCTCTTTCTATGCAATTAATTGTCTCTGAAACCCACTGTGGGGGTCAGCTATGGGTCAGCTCTGACTTAATGGTACACAACAACAACAAGAGTTTATTGTTCAAAATCACTTCCCTAGCATTACTTTGACTTCGCCAGGTGGATGGGTAAGTATATGTGAATAGGGCATGTTAGCCTATCTACAAGAGCAATGGCTAGTTTTGCCACTGAATTGAGCAGATTCAGTGACAGATTTGGAGAATCTCGTCACTAGCAAGAAAGCAAGAGAATGCAGAGTGCCCTTAAGAACCAGAGATTCCTGAACCAGCCAGACATACAGGAGATCAGCAGCAGCAGCCAAAGCAAAGCGCCAGAGATACAACATGAAGTAGATCTTAGGACCAGTACCCCATGGAACCAGAGCTAGGAGTCTTTGCCCAAGTTTGTTGTAAGACTGGAGTGAACAGCTATATTTAGCAGGACTGAGAGCTTTATAACACTGACTTAAAGCTGTGCAGCTCAAGGCAAGGTGTCTGTGAGCACATTTCAGAAGCTGTCTTGAATGAGTGACTATATCTTGCTGTCAACCCAAATTACAGTCTTTTGACGTACTTAATATGGTTCTGTGTGGTCTGTGAGTTATTACAACAGATTTTGGATTCAATAGAGCAGTAAGTATGATGTTGGAATTAGTGTAGAAAGAGGTGTGGGAGCACTAGGGGAGTGTTTGACCTCATGGAAATTGGTTATGTCTTGTAGCTGTTGTTGATGAGGACAGTTCTCCCTTGTATAGGTGGAGGTCAGATATGGCTGTCCCCACACCTCCATTGCTCTTTTTACAAATATGTCTTGATTTCTTGACTACTACTTCTATGGGTATTTGTAGATCAAAACAAACTGAAATCCTGGACAACTTCAATGAGTTTAGTCCACTTAAGAAGATTTCCGTTTTCTTGATTTTAATGAGTAATCCATACTCAAAGCTAAAGTTTTTAAATTTTCTTCAAGTCTTTCACGTCTTCTTCACTAGATTGTTGTATCTTCCTCAAATATTGATGCCACAAAATTCTTCATATAGTCCAGGGTTTTTTCCAAACTGTTTGCTCAGCATATATATTGAGCTACATTTAATAGGTATAATGAATTATTATAAACCTGATACATACTTGGCCTGCATTTTTTTTTCGTATTATCTTGTTGTGTTTGAAAAACTATTTCTTGGTTGATGTACTTGGTTGAGGTTCTGCATGAGCATAATTTAGCCCTCTGGAATTCTCATTCTTTTCAATGTTATCCTAAATTTATTATTATCTATACATAGAGTTGCTATGAGTCACAGGTGACTTGACGGCATATAACAACAACAACAAAAATGTTATACTATGGTAACTTGCTTGTTGCTGTGATTCTAGAAACTACACCACCAGTACTTCAAACACCAGCAGGGCCACCCATGGTGAACAGGTTTCAATAGTTCCCAGTCTAAAATGGAATGGCATGTAGAACTAGCCAATCACTTCATAAATAATAAGACTTTGAAAGATCTATGAATAGCAGTGGAATATTTTTAGAGATAGTGCCACAAAATGAGCCCCTCAGGTTGGAAGGCATGTAAACTATGACTGGAGAAGAGCTGCCTCCTCAAAATGGAGCATACCCTAAAATAGTAAAGCATGGACATAGATGGAGTAAAGCTTTCATCCAAAAAAAGATCTTTATTTGCTGAAATGGTGTGATAAAGAATGAGGGCACAGAGCTGAAAACGTCCATTAACAACTACAACTTGGAAGGTGCAAAGTACAAATCTAGGAAAATTGGAGGCAGTAAAAATGCAATGCAATGCAATGCAATGCATAAAGATCAATATTCTAGACATGGTTGTTAAGTGGTATAGAGTCAGAACCAACTCATTAACCCTCCACTGCATTTTTTAGAGCTATAAATTTCACAGGGTTTGCCCATCTTTCTCCTGCAGAGCAGCTGGTGGATTCAAACTGTGTCTTTGGCATGGCAGCATAACTCCTTACCACTAAGGCAATAAAGGTCCCTTAGTGAGCTAAAATGAATTGGCATTGTCCATGCTGAATCAGATAATCACATGATTTGCTATGGTGGCAATGAAAAATTAAAAAGGAATGGTGTCATATTTATATTCAAATATAAAATTTCAAGATATGTCATTCTAAAATATAAGTGTCAATGACAGACCATAATATCCATATGCAAACAAAGAATAGCTAATGTGATTATTACTCAAGTATGTGCACAACTATATAAATCAAAGCAAAGGCAAAATAAAGGGGTGTTGAGAAGTTATAGTTGATATAATAAAGAATAAAATATGAATCCATATTATAACTTTATGTTCATATACCAATTAGTCAAGAAGAGAAATAAGGAGATTATGAGTAGCATTAGGGAAATTATAAAGAAAAGCTCATTTGTACAGGAAAATAATAAAATATCTAAATGCAACTATTTTAAAATTAGAAATAAAACAAAAATATGTGAACAGAGTTTAAACTTTAGGAGTCAACATTGTAAAAATAACTAAAATGACAGGCTCTTCGATCTGTTCTTGACAATGTGGAAAGGGAAAGGAATAAGTACTACGTTCCCATATTTCTTGTAAAGTAACATTGAAAGTCAATGAGAAAAATTTGTTTTAGAACATGAAAATGAGACACAGGTTCTTAAAAGGATGTAGTAGCTTTACATCAAGCCCTGATTCTACCTGTGTAATTTGAAAACTCTCCTAACACACCCTACTGCTGTTGTTGTTAGATGGTATCAAGTCTACTGCAATTTATGGTAACCCTGTGAAGAACAGGATCTGAACCTTGGCACAAGCCCTTTCCTGTGACATGATCTCTGTCATTCTCAAGCCCACTGTGGCAGTAATTGTACCCATCTATTTTGTTGAGGGTCTTCCTCTTTGTCACTGAAATTCTCTCTACCCTTCCCAGTATGATGTGTCTCTCCAAAATCTGGTTCCTTGGAGTAATATGATCAAAGTAAAAGCCGAGTCCAATTCAGAGCGACTTTCTAACACCTTTCCAAGGCTGAAAATCCTTAGGGGAGGAGGCTGCTCATCTTTGTCCCCTTCGAGTACCTGATGGCTTTGAATCATCGACCTCTAGGGTTAGTCTCCTGACACAGTATGTCATCACGACTCCTACCATTGTTTATGCAATAATTCACCAATTCTGACAACCTAGAAAATTAGATTGTGATATAACAAACAGATAAACTAGTAACAGCTTCTAAAAGTATATGTTGTTGTTATAATGTGGTTGTTGTTGTTGTTGTTAAGTGTCTTCGAGTTACTTGTGACTCATAGTGACCCTATGTACAACAGCCTTGAAACTTGCTCTATCAGTACTGTGCCAGACACACCTACCCTCATTACCCTAGTCACTGAATCAATCTATCCTAACGATGGTCTTCCTCTCTTTTTCCTTTCCTCCACTCTTCCAAGCATGATGTCCCTCTCCAAAGACCAGTCGCTCCTTGCAACATGCCCAGGTATGTCAGACAAAGCCTCAGAATTCTTGCCTTCAAAGAACAGCACGGTTTCATCCTCTCTAGGATGAACCTGTTTGTTCTCCTGGTAGTCCATGGTATATTCAACACTCTTCTCCAGCACCACAGCTCAAAGACATCAATTCACTTTCTATCATCCCTAGTCACTGTCTAGCTCTCTGATGCACAGCACTCAACTGAGAAGACTATGGCATGGATCAGGCAAACCATAGTGCCCAGACTGACATTGTTACTCTTCAGTACTATGGAGAGGTCCCTGACAGCTGACTTTCCCTATCCAATTCACCTTTTGACTTCATGGCTGCTGGTACCAAAAGTATATGTTAAAAAAAAATTATTCTTTGAGGCTAACAGGTTGAGAACTTCAACCTTATAAGGAGTCTTTCTAACACTGCCCTTATGTACTAAAAAGGACACTTCTCCCTTTTAAAGTACTAGAAAATTAATGTTCACTTTCTATTATTTTCTTTCCTGTCATAATTTAATAGCCTAGATGGTAAAGAGTTTGGCTTTTGTTTCTTGCTAAAAGTTGGCTGTGTAAAACACTAACTACTAATCACAGTTAGCTTTTCAAATTTCAACGAATTAAACTTGAATAAAATTTAAAATCAATTCTTAAAAAAACGTGTAAAATACATGCTCTAGAAATAGGATAATATAGTTAAGTCAGACAGTGAGAGACCTCATTATTATGTGGAAAAGACGTAGAATATAGAAAAATTATAGAAAAGATATATAGAAATGTGGAAAATATAAAGCAAAAAGAAAAAATAAATAAGAAAATCTTTGCCAATATAGAAGTCAACAATAAAATGGGTTAATGCATTAGTAAGGAAATCAAGACATCCTGGATTCTTACCACATCTCCACCTTTACCTTCATCCATAAAAACTTGAATCTATTATATGGAGTAAATGTCCACTTAAGGTGTCCACTAATGTATTTGTGTTGGCACTGACATAGGCACATGCACACACACAGTGAAAGCTTTGAGTCTCGGTATTTGCTAGGATTGTCCTTTTTTCCTTGGTGTATTCTGTCGTCGAAAGTGTGCAGCCTTAACATATTTCTATCACTTATACAGAGGTAAACTGTTGTTTTCCCTTTTTAACAGGTCTGCACCCCCCCCCCAGGTTCCGGCTTTCACAAGTTTGTGTGTCTGTGTTTAAACTCGCTATTTAATCTGATAGATTAAATAAATAGACTATGGCAAAACCCCATACACATGTATTTATATTATGTACTAGATAAAAAGATATATTTTGTTTCAATTAATGGGAAAAAAACTCAGCAACAAAACCGACCATACAAAGCAAGCATAGTAAATTTATTTTTTAAAAGTCAACAAACAACATTATTTTGTGGATAGACTTGACTGTCATACATATGCACATACACTCATTCTCTCACACAAAGCTACAATACATTACCTTCTTCTCTGAAGTTTGGTATAGAAGCAACCTTGAATGATTTTAACCGCTTTTAATACAGCTAAATAATCTTTCCGTGCTCTGCAACATCTATACCAGGCTTGAATCTTGCAAGCAGCTTTCATTTTATGTATAGATTTCCTGGTTTTATATCTTTTCCACACAGCCTGTTTAACACGTAAGAAAAGCAAAAGTGGAGTGAATGCTCTATTTTTTCTTTTCTTTTTTTTTTAAATTTAGGTTGTTTATTTTTCATTTCAATGAACATCTACAGAGATTTTGGGATTCCATTCATTCATTGTTGCACCCTTCTCCCCG